TGAAATGATTTCTGGAGTCTCTCAAGCTTTTACCCCTCAGACTTCCTCAGATGCCTTGTTTCAAGCATGCTACAGATCGACCGTGGTTCTTCGTGGATCTAGAAGACAACAGAATAAACTTTCATTTGCCCCCCACTCTTCAAAGGGAAAAATGAATATACCTTCCACACTTACTATTCTTTGACCTACATTGTCAAATGTTGAATGGAATTGATCTATGATGAGATATCCCTGGCAATTGAGGAGGAGATATAGGTCCTGTTTGGTACAAAGTATCGAAAATGTGGGATAGAGATTGGGATTACAATTGAGAAAATCATTAAAATATTATTTAGCATGAGTAATTGTTTGTTAGATGGGACTAGGCAAACTTATTGTGGTATTTCCCAATCCCGTATACATGGGTTCGTCTAATCCCATGTAACAAATAATCTCTCATACTAAACAGTTTTTTAACAGATTTTCTTAATCTCTACTTCTCATTTTCAATACTTAACCTGCCCGGGCATATAATTGGCCAGAAAGTATAGAAAGGAACAGTTTCTTTATGATTGCTTTTTAATTCTACTATGATGAAAATTTGATTTGGACCGCGGGCTCCTCAAGAACTATGATGATTTTAGCCAAATTCTTAGTATGTATTCAACAAGTGTTCCCCCCCCCCCCCTTTTGAGCTCTGATCTTATTGGATTAGCTTTTTTTTTGTTGGATTCCATTAGCTCAAGCAATTTGTATTGTAAATTATTACTTTAGGAAGTGATGAAAGTATAATGAACCTGATTTTATTGAAGCATTCTCTTTACTACCGTGTTTTTCAGGATCATGGGTGCTCTGTACAAATTTTTTTTTTTTTTTTTTAAATACCATGTGTTGTACAAAAGTATTCATTGATTGGATGATAAAAAATCCAGCTTCTCTCTCCCTTTCTATTTTGTTTAGCTTAATTCGTAACCCTTTGCCAGAAAGGGTTAAGCTGCTACTTTTCTGTTTGATTTGAATTTTGCTTAGTATAGATTTGTGACTGAATTCATTTTAATTAAATTTCTTAATTGGAGAAGATGGGTTTATCCTTTATGCTGTTGCTACATTTTTTGATAGAAGTGCATCAAAGGGGTGACATCACAATTAGCAATGCATGCTTTTCTAATTTTCTTTTAACTATCCTTTAGTTGAAATGATTGTTTGTTTTAATTTTTTGTTTGTGATTGTTTTTGTTATTTCAGTGGCAACAAATGGATATTGAGTATACTTTCTGGCAAATGCTTCACTTGTGCACCTCACCAAAAGTTGTGTAAGTATATATAAAATCATTTATACTCTTTCCCCTTTTGGATTTGAAATTCATGTAAATCTCTTTTTATTAATGCCTTGTTCATTATGCAAATCCACATTATGATCAATCAAGGCTTAGTCGCTACTTACCCCTTGCACTCCTTGTACTTGTGATTAAGTTATCGGTTTTTCTGATTGCTTTTCTGGTGCATGCATTTGATGTGGAACTGGATGATGGATGTAGCTATCAGCATACTAAATATCACAAACGTAAGTTCACTTCACATGAACATCTTATTGGTTTTTATATATCTGTATGTTTCTTTTTCAACAACCATTGGTCCAGCAACTTAAGTTCAGCTTTTATTTACTTGGCTATATGAATTATTTGGACTGGAATTGTTCTGGCTCATACTGTCTAAACATTTTAGTATATGCTGTTATATCTTAAAAACATTCATTAAAAATCTTCCATACGTAACACATTTGAGTTACGTTTGGTGATGAATGATATTGGCGATATCAATATTTGATCACAATCATAAACGATGTTATATGCAGTAATTTCTCTTTCTTTTTAAACTCATTTGAACTTTCAAGTATAATCTAGCAATGATTCGGTACAGAGAGAAATTTTTTTAGGAAAAAAGAAAATGTGTTTTAATCTTCAGTGAACAACTTTTATTTTGCACAGGGAGTAGAAAATCATCTAACAATGTGAAAAATAGTAATAAACTAAAGACTAAAGGAAGTGTAATTGGTTTTTTTCTTATTTTTTTGGCATCAGAAACCAAGAATCAATGGGCACGTGACGACCTGCTTTTGTTGTTGTGATCTGCAGCCTTCTTTTGGCCGTTGCAAGTCTAGCATATTGTGCAGCGTAAGTGTGCTCTACATTTGTGGTGCCATCTCTTCATACTTATACATAAGACAAGTAGGTAAAATTACTGTAATTTTGTAAACCTAAATCAATATGCAAGTCCTTAACATTTGTGTACATAACAAAGGGTCGTTTCAGTTTTTATAACATTCCTTTAAAAAAAAAAAAACTGCCTTTTTATAACATTTGCGGTGGCACCTCTTCATATTTATACTTCTCTTATTTTGGAATATTTGCTGTTTCTGAAGTCATGAATCACAATGGTTGATGGCTTCGGGTTTAGACATTTGATGACCTTCTTCCTGTTGAGATCAGTGATACTCTGCTAATATTATTATCTCCTTATCACTTCAGGTATGATCATAGTGCTGCACATGCACTTTTTGTTGTATTCTCAGTATTGGTTTTTCACTTTTGGTGACTGGAGTAGCTCTGGCAACTTTTTGTTGGTAAAGGATACTACCCACACACATTAAGTATATCATCCTTTTCTTCTGAATCACTTAATCCTGATACAATAACAGATGTATCTTTTGACCCCTTGTGATCTCCAGGTTCCTGACTAATTCCTATCTTCGAGAAGAGGCTCCTAATAGTTATGTAGTTGAGCAGCGTGTTGAATGGTAGGTTGGAAAATGTTGTTTCCTGCATTTCGTCATGGATGGCTGAAGAAGTCAATCTTCCATTAGAAGTGGATGTAAATATGTTGGTTTAATCGACAATTTTGCATTGCTTTTGAAAATTTTTATGTCACTGGTAAATTTGGGGCCGTTGAATATTTCCCCTTTGCTTTAGAATTTTACGCTTCGTTTTCTAATAGCTGATTCTTCTTTTTTGGTTTTCCATGGAAGGCTATACGCATTTGATGTGCACTGCAACTCCTTCTTCCCTATGTTTGTCTTGCTTTATGGTAAGTCCTTACTCCTTCGTTAGTATGGAAGCTGTTATAATGTTTGCGACTGTACTATATTGCATCACAGTAGTACTGATGCCTGATCATCCGGCAGTGATCCATTATTTTCTATCTCCTCTATTGGTGGCTCATGGTTTCATCCCAGCATTGCTGTCAAATTTGCTGTTCATGGTGGGCGCTTCATACTATCACTACCTCAATTTCTTAGGTTATGACGGTAATATCCCCTCCCTCCCTCTCTCCCTCCCTGGCATCCGGGGCATATTAATAATTTGGACAAAGTTCTCGTTTAGATGGACTCTTGATATTTAGATCCTGTAGTATTTCTATTTCATTAGTACATTTTCATTGGGTTTGGCTATAGCCTGGAAAATATTCTCTTTTCAGCTTTAGACTCTTGAGCGTAAATCTGCTCAATGTTAGTGAATTCATATTATGTGTTCAGTTATACTTGAGGTGTCAGGCATTAGGCTTTCCTGCAGTTTGGTTACAATCTTCTTTTAGTGTGTTTGATATTTGATATGCAAAGCTGGATAGTCTTTTCTTTATTTTTGGTCTCTGCTGAATTTGATTTAGTTTTACCCTAAAATTTAGGAGGTTCAATATCTGGAGTCTGGAACTGTAACACCACTTTTGTTAGTCTTGAACTCCAGCTCATATGGCGTGAAAGACAACTTTCACAGTTATGCCTTTCATTAGTAGGCTTATTTCCTGAAGACATGTAGTCACATACCGCTGAAATTAAAGTTCTTACTTAGATATGACTGGGAGTGAATAAAATGGAGTTTAATGGATTGTCATCTGTGGCTGTAGTTCTGCCCTTCTTGGAGAGGACAACTTTTTTTCTGTACCCGATTGGTGTTGTCATCATCCTTTCTCCTATTTGTAAGTGTTGAACATGCTTCCCATTTGTATTTTCATAACATGTTAATATTGTGTCTGAACTCAATTTCTGATTTGCAGTGATTTTGGGTGGCTTCAATCCTTCTAAATATTTCATGAACATCTTCTTCAGTCGACAAATGTGATCAGTCTGGCTAACACTTTTGATCTGTCATCGTTGAGGTTTTACAGCATTCGGAAGACTGCATCAACTTGAGAAGGCTTATTGTTTGCTTGTATCTTAGGGATGGAATGGCCAGTAAGGCCTTCTAGGTCTTCTACCACCACTGCTAGTGGAAGTTGAATTGTAGTAAAGTCAGGATAGGAGGTGCAATTTTTTAATAGTTATAGGGAATATTTGTTCAAATGAAACCACTTGATGTAAAAAAAAAAGAAAAATCTGATCTTCTCCATGTCATTTTGGTGTCTTTCTCCCAAAAATGAATTTTTGTTTTAAATCGCAAGCTTTCTCGAAAGTCTAGTGGATGAACAGTGAACTAACAAATAGAAAAGGGTTTCCTGTCAACCACATTCCAAATATGCATGCACTAATTCATGGTATAATAATCGGTCAAATCAGTTATAATTAATTCAAATATTATTTATTATACAAAATAATTTTAAATAAGAAAAATAAAAATAATAACTCTAACAATGTTATGTTTTGTTAATAATTACTGAATAGTACTTTTATTATTTGTTGAAGAATAAAATCACGAATTATTTTCAGTATTACAATTTAGTGATTTTTGTTCAATTCAGTTCGTCCTATATAATACTACCTCCTGCTCTGAATGCAAGATGGTAGTGTGTCAATTGGGGATCATGATCAATTCTAAGTTTGGTAAACATATTTGTTCATCGAATGAGTTTCCAAATGTACCAAAGTGAAGCAGTGAATCAGGGAACAATAGCCATTGCCAATACATGGCTTATTTATTTTACCAACAACGCAACAAGCAACTTTAATAGTTATTGGTAATCATAAGTTGTTGAGAATGTTATTTAAGGATCACAATATGACATAATGGCGGGTCTTTAACTGAGGCTGAGCAACATGAGCTTTGCTGCCGGCAACGTCAACCACGAACCGATACCTGACATCGTTCTTCACCAATCTTTCGAAGGCTTTGTTGATGTAATCCATCTTCACCACCTCTATCATCGAACTCAGTCCCTTCTCTTTCCAGAACTCCAACATCTCTTCCATCTCCTTTATGCTCCCTGTGAATATTCCCGTTATCATCTTCCTTCCTGTTACATTACAAAGAGTACCGCGCTTTCAACACAAATATTCACAAAAATCAACACAACGTTGTTGACATTCCATATGCTATGAAATTGCTGCCCAGGAAATATCTCAATTTTGCAAACAAAGCCGTGTCGTGCCAGATGCGTCTGGTATTGACAACCCCCGGGCGGGGGGTGGAGTACCAAGCATGACCATGGGGCTCAGGAATTGCAGAGGAGTGCTGATGACACCTGTTAAGATCAATTTACCATCAACTTTGAGCACAGAAAGATAAGGTTCAAGAGGGTGAGCCGCTGGCACGGTATCAATGATATAATCAAGTGAGTCAGCAATCTTCTGCATCTGAGTTTCATCCGAGTTAATGACGTACTCGTCTGCCCGAAGGTGCTCCAGAGCCTCCTGCTTCTTCTTCCCCGACGAGCTTATCACTGTCACGTTGTGTCCCATGGCTTTCGCTATCTTCACACCCCGGTGTCCAACTCCTCCAAGCCCTGCTATTCCTCCTCTTAGCCCGCTTTCTTTCAGTCCGAAGTGTGACAATGGACTGTACACTGTCACGCCGCCGCACAACAGTGGAGCCCTTGCTCTGGTGCCATTCCCTCTGGTATCTTCACCGCGAAGCTGAAAAGTCGAGTTCAGAATCGGCGATTTAAAAAAAAAAAAAAAAAAAGCTTGTGCTGATGAATATTTCAATTGGGATTTGCCGGAGGCTTTGATGACTATACAAAGCATGGAACTTTGGACTTGGTGAAAAGCCAAAAAAAGGTGTGCCAACATATGAAGGTTTCAGCTTTCAAGCAGGATTTTGCAGGAACTTCTGAAGAATACAAGGCATGGAGTTTTAAGGGGGTGATTTATTACTTTTGAGCGACGACCATGGTTTCCGCAAAGCCACCTTGGGTGGATCTTCCATCGCTGTAAGTCCAGATCTTCTTGCTGCAATACTGCTCGATATCAGATTTGCATACCCTGCAATTCCTGCAGCTCCCAACGACGAGTCCTACTCCGACAGCGTCTCCGATCTTAAACTTGGTCACATTTGAACCCACCTCGATCACTTCGCCGGCCACTTCATGCCTAGATATCAGAACACTCGTCAGCTCTCAAAGCCACGAGCAGAGAAGGCCATTAAAAGATAATTTAATTTGATTCGAAATTATTCACTTGGTTGTTTACCCAGGAACCATGGGATATTTGGACACGCCAAGATCATTCTCAGCCTGATGCAGATCAGTATGGCAGATTCCGCAGTAAAGAACCTTGATATACACATCATCAGGCCCAGTGTTTCTGAAAGTATAAGATCAAACAATGATTCTAAAAGAAAAACGTATAGAGAAAAGATGGGATTTTTTTATGAAGATAACTAACCTTGGAGTGAAAGTGTATGGAGAGAGAACCCCAGAAGTTGTCTCGTGCAGCCCATCCAACTGTTGTTCTTTCTCCTTCAACATTACCCATATTGCCTCAGAGGCAGAGAGACGAAAAACTGGAGAGGAAAGGAAGGAACTAATATAAGAAAGCAAAAGCCGGCCAAAGAGAGAAGAAGAAGGGCACGAGTTTTGCGATAATGCGATTGCGTAGTACCGCTTATCGTCGTCGAAGTCGTCCTACCTCTACAAATCCAGGCCTCACACTCGCCGTATATATCTTATGAGATGGTCCTCGTACGTTTTCATGTGCAAGGCATAAAATCCAATAAGAGGAGAATGGCGCGAATTTGAGTGGTACGACAGATGGGGGGACAATTGGCGCCTAATATCTTGTTGTCATCCTTCTCCTCCCCCCACAAATCGAGGCCTCATTTGATGTTTGTGTTATTACGGGGTTCTTGTATGTTTATCAGTTAGGCATCAAAATTTGTTTTTTTACCTTGGCTAGCCAGATAAGCACACAAACACACAACACTCAGTACAGATGCTTCATTTTCATTATTCCTCTGCCAAAAACAACACACATTGTTGGGGGCAATGATTGTCTGGAGGTGAAGAGATGACGAGAAATATGCATAAACCATAAAATGATGACTTAAAGAGATGTTTCTTGATACAATATACCTCTTCAATTAAAAATCATGACCACATGAAACAACATTTTTAAGAGCCAAAAGTTATTTAAAATACCTTTTTCATCAAGAGTTGCATTCTTCTAGCACACAAGATTGTTTAAAACCACACAGCTTCTTACCAAGTGGTGGTTACCTCTTTTTAAGTTATGATCTTTCATAACACATCTTTAGGACTCTGATGCCGCTTGTGTTTACTTTCTAGACAACCATTCATATAAATTCCTTAATTTATAAGACTTCACAGAAAAACACGTCACTTCATTTTGAAAAATATTCCAGCAACCAAGAAAGATTAATGAATGCCACATCACGCTCTGGTTTGCAGCAGTGACCAAACAGTTCGAGCATAAATTGTAAGCCCAGTTTTGTGTTTATATATCTCTTGTGGTAGTGGGCTCTTTCTTTGCTGTACCCCCTGGGCCAGCCCTTTGTGTTTATACATCCCTTGTGGACTGTTTTCGCTCTCCGCTTGTTTAATTGAAAGAAACACTTGTTAACATAATTTTAACAAAATTGAAGATTTTATGTGATCTGTTTTTTAATTTGATGTTCTTGAATTATATATTATAATAATGATTGTAATATTTTTGTTAATTTAGTCCCACAGTAATGACTATAAAATTGAAGCATAAAAAGACGAACCGTGAAGAGAGTCAGTTATGAAAGTTTCAAATTATATATTATTTGTATCACAATATTCAAGTTTTGTGGGCAAATTTTACTTATCAAATTAAATGTATTAAAATTTCCTTTTGTTAGCATCCTAATAACACCACTTAAATACTAAAAGTAAACACTTTTCTCAATGAATATTCAAATTATGATTTACTACATAACTATTCAAATTATGATTTGTCATGTTGTAAATAACTCCTAACAAACATTTTTTTTTGTTACCCACTTAGTTTACTGGAGCTTTACTCCGACTACATTTGGATCCGATCCGCGTCGCGCACCTGGCTATGGTGGTTGAGTCTCCTAACGGGAATTTATGCATACCCTGAGACTTGAACTCGAGATTTCGTTTAAACGATACCAAACTGCTTACTACTTAGACTAATCCCTGTTGATTCCTAACAAACATTTAATCAATCAAGAAGGGAATTCAATCCCATCCAATCATTGTCAACAAGATTCCTTATTCAGTTATTTGGGCCGGACACAAATCCACGAGGGAGGATATTGTTAATCGCATCTTAGCTAAGGAGTCTGCAACTCACGGCTGCACGTTTAGACCCGGCCAGCGGATATGTTCATCCCATTTGGGTTTTTAAAAACGTAGTTAAAAACTTAAGATCTCTGCCCACACTGAATAAAATTAGTTAATATTTTCTTTTCTGAAATTCTGTTAATTATGTATTTTTTTCTTCTCAATTTTTCTCTTTGTACCACGTAGTTTAGGAATTTATTTTTAAAAAATATCAATTACTTCAAAAATTTTACAACGTGCTTCATGAAAATAATTTTATACTATTATCCCAATGATCGAGTTTGAATACTACCTCCGACTTTGATCTTTAATACAAGAGTTCATTATAGATTAAAAAAATCAGCTAAATTATTTATTTATAATAAATATATATTATTTTTTTAGTATGTCTTTATCAATCATGTGTATTAACCAGAATTACTATTTATTGAAATCTTTAATATTTGCAACTACTATAATAGTTACTTGAAAAAAATAGATAAATATAAGAGATAAAGTGAACTAAGAACTTACATTTACAATCAAATTAAAAATTAAACTAGCTTTTGTACTACCTCCTGTTTTTAATATAATAATTTATTTGATTTTTATTTTGATCATAGATATAAAATTTCAATTCATTTTGTCTCTTACATTTATTTTTTTAAAAGATAATCTTTATAATAATAGTAGTTTCAGCTACTCTATTTTATTAGTAAAAATTTTTTGAAAAAAATATCTATTTATTTCAAATAACTAATTTAATTAATTTTTATATTATAAATTACAAATAGCACTGAGAGGAGGTAGTATTAAGAAATTAAATTAAGCATTAAAAACCCCCCGACTATAATCTGCTAGTTGACTATATTGTCAGACTTCTTTTTACTATCATTGGAAGATAGGGTAACAAATGTCACATAGTTGGCGAACTACTACAGATCACATAATATAAAATACCACCCAACAGTTCCCGACAGAAAATTTAGAATTCTTTGGAAAGAAATCGCATTTAAATATTCGACGAGACAACAAACATATCCGATATTCCGATGAGGCATCCACAAATCATAATTATTGAGTTTTGCAGAAAGTTACTTAGGATGACATGTGTTTCATTTTCATTCATCAAGTTTGCTGCCAGCAACATCAACCACGAACCGATACCTCACATCGTTCTTCTCCAATCTTTCAAAGGCCTTGTTGATATAATCCATCTTCACCACCTCTATCATTGAACTCAGTCCCTTCTCTTTCCAGAACTGCAACATCTCTTCCGTCTCCTTTATGCTCCCTATGAAGCTTCCTGTTATCATCTTCCTCCCTGCCACATCAATTATTAATTAAGTTACAACAACTTCAAATCACAACATACAGTTCAAACATCGACCAAAATCAATCTAACCAGACCCTGGTATGAAGCTTTTGGAAAACAAAGGGACGAAAAAGCTGACAGAGAGAGAGAGAGAGAGAGAGATCCTATACCAAGCATGACCATGGGGCTGACGAATTGCAGAGGAGTGTTGATGACACCCATTAAGATCAACTTGCCATCAACTTTGAGCAGAGAGAGATAAGGCTCAAGAGGGTGACCCACTGGCACGGTATCAATGATATAATCAAGTGAATCAGCAATCTTCTGCATCTGAGTTTCGTCTGAGCTAACCACATAATCGTCTGCTCCAAGGTGCTCCAGAGCCTCCTGCTTCTTCTTCTCCGACGAGCTTATCACCGTCACGTGGTGTCCCAAGGCTTTGGCTACCTTCACACCCATGTGTCCCACTCCTCCAAGCCCTGCTATTCCTCCTCTTAGCCCACTCTCTTTCAGTCCGAAGTGTGACAATGGACTGTACACCGTCACGCCGGCGCACAACAGTGGAGCCACTTGTACGGGCGACATGCCCTCTGGTATCTTCACCACGAAGCTGAAAACCCCAATCAAGAAAACGCAGCCTCATAATCGGTGAACATAAAGTGCTTGTGCTTATGATTGTCTTTCTTTTCAAGTGAGGTTTTGAAGGAATCTTTGAAGAGCATAAAGCATAAAATTTTGGAATTGGTTAAAAGATGCGTCAACATCCGAAGTGAGTTTCAGGAACTTTCAAAAGAATCAAAAGCAGGGAGCTCTGGTGAGAATATTGGAATAGAAGCTAAGGTGAGGATTGATTATATTACTTTTGATCGACGACCATGGTTTCAGCAAAGCCACCCTGGGTGGGTTTTCCATCTGTGTACACATCGTTGTAATTCCAGATCTTCTTGCCACAATATTGCTCAATATCAGATTTGCATGCCCTGCAATTTCTACAGCTCCCAACGATCAGTCCAGCTCCGACCACTTCTCCGACCTTAAACTTGGTCACATTCGACCCCACCTCGATCACCTCCCCAACCACCTCATGCCTATACACATATAAGATAACTCATCAGCTCAGAGCCATAAGCAGAGGGAAGCGTGTTAATGGATTTTGTTGGTTGTTTAGTTACCCAGGAACCATGGGATAATTGGACATGCCGAGATCATTCTTAATCTGATGCAGATCCGAATGGCAGATTCCACAGTAGTGAACCTTGATATACACATCATCGGGCCCCGTGTTCCTGAAAGTGCGTAATTTGAAGAGTTAGAACAAGAGGAACCGAAACGTGGGAGAAAAAGATGAGATTTTTAATGAAGGTAAAAATTAAGTACCTAAGATTGAAGGTGTAAGGAGCGAGAATCCCAGAAGGGTCTCGTGCAGCCCATCCAACAGTTGTTCTCTCTCCTTCAACGCTTCCCATGTTGTCTCAGAGGCAGAGAGAGAATGCAACAAAGGAAAATGGCAGGCGAAGAGAGAAGGAAGGATGAGCCCTTTATGAGTGCGTACTGCGTAGTGGGCGCAAAACTACAAAAGATGGGGAGGATGAGGATGGAAGTAGCACACAAAAATATACGTTATTTAATTATTATTATTATTATTATTAACTGAGAAACTGATAAAGACACAGGAACTGTAGGGTGTGGGGCCTGCGGGCGCGGTAGGTGAAACAGTGAGGTTTAATCCTCCGCTTCCTTCTTCATGTCTGGTCATCCTCTCTCCACTAATCTCACCCCTACATGTCATATCGTACGGTTCTTATTATCTTATCTTAGCCTGGACGATTGTCTTTTTGGATGAAAGCAGAGACGAGAAACTTGACCGTGTCGAAAACTAACAGTTGGAGATAATTACCGAAATCAATACTTGTGACAGTTGATCTTGTTAACGAATCATACACACATTTTTTGTACCCAAAAAAAAAAAGTTCAAGTTAGTAGAAAGAGCATATTTTTGTTGAATTTTGTATTGGTATCCTAAAATAATTTTTCATACCAAGGTTTACCTTAATATATAGGGTGTTACTTTAAAAAAAATATACATTAGGGTGGAGATTATAACTTAATTGTTTTTATTAATTAGAAAGTCAAATCAGATGATAAGCATAAGAAGATTCCTCTAAACACAAGAAGAGATTGAATAAATTGTGAAGCCATTATGGCTCTTATTTTTTAGGATGCGATCCCTTATCCTCCGCCGTGAGTAAGTGCACTTATTATTTTCTTTATTGTTTTTATTCCCCTTGCCAACTATTTCCTTTGCTATTATCAGTGTCAACTAATTAAAAAATTGGGTAGGTATGCATGCAAAAAATTGGTTGTATCTTACCAAAAATAAAATAAAATTGGTTGTAACCTTCAGCAGTTGGAGGCGGAGATAGAAAATTTTCATACACACACACACGTCACTAATTATTTTATTAAAAGCATGGGTTAACATTAATTCTGTTGCATTAAATGTTAACATTAATTCTGTTGCGTATAATTCTGTTGCATTAAATGTTAACATTAATTCCATCAAACCCATCAAAAGAAAAATGCAACCCTTTCCTGACCGGAGTTTACCCAAAAAATTACAAATCCTATATTAGGTTTATAAAATTCATATTCTAATCTTATTTACAGCATATCTGATATTATTTTTTTTGCGTATTTAATTTCAACACTTTCTAATATTATTTTTTAATTACATTGAAGATCCTAATCTTATTTATGGTTTTTTTTGGGCCAAAATCTTATTTATGGTTTAGAACTTTAAAAAATTAGATGTACTATAATAAAATTAGAGTGTTGAATGTATTATAAATAAGATTTAGATATTTCTTCTTGCTAAAGTATATGTATCCTTTTATTGGAGGCAATTTTATTCGAGACACTGACGGTACTAAATGTGGGTACTTCTTTCAGTGAAAATTCGAATTTTAGTTCATCACGTTGTGAGGGACTGGTCCATTCTGCTAGATTCAACCTCCTTAGTATTTAAATATTAAATGCATGTCAAAAGCAATATTAGAATGCTGCTGGATACTACTTTACCCATCATAAAATGCCATAATTTTTCTGAAGTTCTTTTTTTTTTTGGGTTGACATTAAGTTTTGTTAGGAAAGAACCATAAAAAATCTGAGTTAAAATAATACGGGCTATTTTTCAGATTGATCAATCAAATTTGGTAATAGATGCAAATTTTGACTGTAAAAAAAAAAAAAAAACTCGTAAATTAAGAAAGCTTGAGTGCTAATAAATTCACATTATAATTAGATGAATTTTCCGGTGGGGCGGGCGTCACAAATGCAGAATCAACTAATAGAAATCACACCTAATTCTGGAGAAAAAGGAGTGATAATAGATAGGCATCATTAAGTAAATTAAATCCTCATCTTTTTGGCAAAAAAAGGCCTCACCAAAAATATAATAATTAATTTTTACTATTTATGTTGTTGTATTATAATTTTTTCTAGTGTTTGTTAATTTCTTGGAGAGTAATACCCGTAAAATTGAAGCACGGCCAGATTACCATTTTTTGTGGGGTGACGTGCTACCTTCTCTATGAAGACAAATTTTGAGACCTCACACCTACCCTTTCATCTCATGATCAAAGATTAAACTCTAATTAAGTCAAAATTGTAAAAACCAAATGATTAAATTTTTTCTATTTTATTTATCAAATTAAACCGGTGTTCATTGCATCCAAGTCCAACGTGGATAAGTATGACAATCGCCTAACAAGCCAATAAGAAACACTGCATCCCCACTGAGATGGATTTGCTCGTTTATTATTTTTCACTTGAGAAAACTGAATCAATTATATTATATGTATAAATAATTTAGCTAAAATATTAGGAGAATTACATTTAAATCTTACAGAAGAAAAATAATTGCCAAAAAGACCCAATAACAACCTCAATAATCAATAACGACAAGTCCTACGGTGAGAATGATAACTTTTAAAACTTGTGTTTCAATTATTTTTCTTGTTTAGGATCTTATTGTAATTCTTTCAAAAATATTCTCATTTTGTACGTTACTTATAAAATATTCAGAGAATGAGGTCCCGGTTTTCCACTAAAGAGACAGGTGGGCTTCGACTTCTGGTTAACGTTGATTTTTCTTATTAGGCTGCGACTCTCTCCAAACCCCATCACCCACAAATCTAACAAGTCCGCACTGACTTTTAAGGCACGGCTTTATATGATATTTCTTTTTATCTTTTTATTCTTATTTTCAACTTTTCCTTTTGGACTATTTCTGGAAGTAATTCAATTATTGACAAGTTTTATAATTAATTAGCAATTAGTAATGTGCTTATTTAGTGTGAAATTTTTTAATAATTAATTTTTGTTTATATGAGACTGCACGGTAATTTTTTGGTTCTGAAATTTGGTTGCATGTCATCTTCAAGCTTCTGCTCATTCGGTCTCCTGGTCAAATCAAGCCAAAACAGAAAATCAAACCCTATCTAATTATTTCTCATACCCAAAACATTGCCTTCTCTGTATTTTTAGTTTATTTGTTTATTCCGAGGGTTTGGTGAGGTGAGGGTCAGCACGAAGATGAAGAAGACTTGAAAGATTCGACACAGGCTCACGCCGTGGTCACCAACCCCATCGATCATTATTGCCACCTCATGATAACGATGTTGGTGGTGGCTAATTTCTTTGACGTAGTAGCTAGGTTGCTTCCATTATTCAACTGAACAAAATATAACCACAATTAACCTCATGATATTTTTGGATACAATTAGTAACACACGGTTGATGTTTTACAGCATAATACCTCTGTGCTTAATCTTAACATAAGAACTAATTAAAAATTTAATTTGATTTTAAATATAATATCTTAATTCATTTTATCTTTAATATTTATTTATTTTGCTCGCAAGTAATTTCCATGGTGATTATGTCAAGTAGTCTTTGTTGAGATGTAATTTCAATGCACATGATTGATATGGATATTTTAGAAAAAAACTTATTACAAACAACTAATTTATTTAATTTTCTTAATATTCATAAATTAATTATCTGAATTTTATATTAAGGATAGGAGTTAGTATCTCGGTAAAAGTATTGTGTTTAGGCATCAACATGCTATCATTCATTGTTCAAAATTTGTGGGGTATTCTTAATACACCCCAACGCTGAAGTATTTTGCGGCTGGATGGTGTATTAGGTGTGAAGGTAATTATATGTATGAAACAAAATATACAAAGATGTGGATTAGAGTTATAAGCAATTTCCCCAACATTTGGGGTGGGGAAGACATTAGAAAGGATAAGCATCAATAATCGACAAGACTAAACAAGCTATAATAGTCACACAGAAAAATGAAGCACCCAGAAGCTTTTTACTGAACGTGTCTCCTTAATAATCGAACATTTGTTTTATTGAGTTTGTCAATTTCGGAAGTCTCATTTAATTCCGATTAATTTAAGTCAGACTAAATGAAGTCCACTTCTTTTTTTTTCCACATTCGTTGTTGAAACTCAAAACATTATTCATAAATAAACTCTTCACCATTCGTTTTACCTAAACAAAATTAAAAGACTACTATTTGAATAACAGACATTCGTTAGTAGATTAGCATTTTACAACTTTGCCATTTACCCTTGATTTGAAGTTGATAGACTAAGGATGATTTATCTAGAAGGCTTTGACAGACAGAACAGTAGGTTGCAGCAGCATTTCTTCTGCCTTCAATGAAGATTTCAATTAACGTGCAATTAGAATAACATGAGAATACTAGAATTAAAGATGCGAAGGTCAATACAATACATGACACTTCCTATTAAAGGAATTGGAGGGAAAATTGATGTTTGATATGATTGCAAGGAGACTTGGGAGCACAAAGAGCCACACACAAAAACCAAGTGGCTATCTGAGGTACAGGCGCCAAAACCTTAACGTAATCATGTTGGCTGTTTGACTTGAGAGCATAAAATATGCAGTAGGGCAGCGGTGAGGAAGAACCGTGATTGAATCTAGTGAACGTGACAAGCTGTTACCTTTCAACCATGACTCAGGATTTTGTCAGATTCCAACTTCTTTGCATATATGGAGGGAGAGGAGCAACAAACTCGAGGCTTTCTACATTTCCAAGATCATGGGTGGATGATGATTGCACATCCTGCAGAGCTTGAGATACATTGGGCAAGACTATATGCTTACAATGAAGATGTAAACGAGGTTGCTTCTCAGAGATACTTCCCTTGTTCATATTGAGCCCAAAGGGGAGTTCTTCGTCCCCATTTGAGTCCTCCTCATCCGGCACATCAAAGTGTTTCCACCTCCTATGAGCTTGCAATCCATACCTGTAGTCACCAACTATTGGTGTTCCCAACACTTCAGCACAGTGGACCCGAAGCTATGGCACCAGCACAAGATTAGATTAGATTAGATGCTCCTCGTGTTTTGATAACTAAATGTAAAACCAAGATGAGCTAGTTAATGTAAAACCTGGTGTTTTCTCCCGGTTAATGGTGATAGCTCCAACCATGAGTAACCTGCACAATTAGCGGAGGCTTAAGTGGAACTGACTCAATCTCAAAAGCCATCATAAGGGGCGCCGAATGCAAATTCCCAAACAAAAGTTAACTGATGGACCACGAGTTACTGAGCTTATGGTACTGGAGATAACAGAGCTAATCAACTCTCATGCATTGAGGTGCAAGAGGAAGAGAGTAGGGCCGTCAGAAGGGACTATATTGTAGATTGAGGCGTGAGAGAGAGCAAAGGAAGAATCAATTCGATTCAACATATCTATAAAAGTTGTGAGGAATATTAAGCCGAATTGTTCACGAGCTGTGAACAGGAAACATTTGAACTCTGCAACATAGTTAGAGACCTACTATAGTTAGTATGGTTTGAGAGAGACACTAGCCTTTCAAGCTAAAGAGTTTGTTCTGCTGTTTCTTTTGTTTTTTGCAATTTTTCATGCGTCTCCGGAGCACCTTACCCTACCAGTTCCTACCCCCATCTCTGATTCAAACACAAATTTTAGTATGTTCTATATAAATAATACCATAATTACGAGGCTTTATCATTGACCAAATACTAGCTGTGAGCTGTGACTCTAAATAAGGTAAATTGGATTTTAAAATTTGAAGTGACCCTCATTACTAACCATGCGGCGAGGACCCAATCACTCGATACTCCGTGATTGCATGCTGCGACGATAATTCCGAAGAATTGTCAATGATGGCTATTCTATCAGATCTCCCGTTGTTTACCACCACCTGAAACCGAAACAAGGACAGAAGGTTTCAATACTGTAGAGGAAGCTTTCAATTTTCCAGATGATCCAAGTTCTTCAACAAATTAATGAACATATGTAGGGTAGCACATTTATGCTGTTTGCTGTTATGTGTTAGAACCAACTAGTTGTAAAGCCCACGCAGTCTTGTGTTGCCAGTGAATTGGAATTAATTGGTCTGCAGATACAACGTGAAATTACCATTCCAATATTTTGCATGAATGCCTAGAGGAAAAACCAAAGATTATCCCTAAGCTTTCACGTGAGTGTTTGGAGGTCATACTCAAGGTCTAGCAGGTTTGAGCACACAAGAATGCGTTTCAACTTGGTTCTTATAGCAGAGGGTATTCATACCTCATTATTTTAAGTTAAGATCCATTAAAACCTTAAACCTTAGTTGCTTATGCTGATACTATTTAACAATAAAGTACTACCTCTGGTCCTATATATAAAACCCTTTTAACTACTTTACAAGAATTGAGAAATGGAGTTTATTGAAGTAGTGGCATTAATTTGTCAACCATTTGGACTCCCCACCCCCCCCCCCAAAAAAAAAAAATCGTAAAATTAATGAGACCCCATATTCTTAGTAATCTCTTTTCACCTAATTAAGGGCATTTTTGTGGGGAAAAAAATTAATACAATAGACAATTAGAAAAGCGTCTTATACAGAAAACCAAGATAAACTCTCAAAAAGGTTCTTATAAAAAGGACTGGGGGAATAATTTTTATTTTTTATGACATGTCTAACAATAGCATTCGCTGGAATGTTGTCAAACAATATTGATGGATAATTGCATTTTTTTTGCATAATAAAGGCATACATTTATCAAATGCAGCGATGAACAACCAGAAGAAGTGCGCAGAAGCGCAGTGATTTTGTTGCGAATTGGAAAACTTGGATAAATGAGAAATAAGGATATAATCCAACCTTACCCAATGAAGCGGAAACAAACCCCTTTGGACGTCGTGGACATCCAATGACCAGTGCTAAGTACCTTCTTTGTAGGATTCTCCTTTTCTTACCAATCTACAAATCATTAAGTGCCAGCAGATCAGGAAAAAAAATTACAAGTATGCAACTTGAGATTATGATCATAAAGGACTAATGTTAAAAAATAATCATTTTTATACAAGGCATCTGTTGAAATAAGTACAAAGAAAAAAATAAAGCATAAAAACTCACATCATCAGATGCCCTGAAAGTTTTCTCCCGGAATATGGAATGCAGCGCTGTAGCACTTGTCTGTGTCCTTCCCATCACCAAAATGCCCGTACAATCTCTGTCCAGTCTATGCACCTAATATCCTGCCTAGTTTAAGTATCAATCCAATAGCTAGTTTTTCCCAATCACAAATATCGTAAGATAGGGGAAAAAAACTATCAAACTGATCTCATGTATTTTTAAGTTTTGTAATAGCGATACAGTTCCCATGATCTTTCACAGAATAATAATAATAACTAAAGCTTTATAATTTTCACTGCTATATTGATGCGACTTTCTTGGATCTTGGAGCCCTCCTAAATATTAGAACATTTAAATGATTTCTATCAAATTAGGCAAAGCACACAGGACAAATATTCTGTTTAATTTATTTTAAAGAGTTGTCTGTGACCAGTAAGGATCTTTTACAAAATGTATTTTATGAGTGATACCACTAAAGCATAAAACCTTATTTTGTGAACCCTAATACACATAACAAAGGATAATTTTGTAGTGGATGAAGTTTCATCAAGGGTTCCTCTGCCTAAGGAAGCATATCGTCTATACGTGCTCTAGAGAAAGAAGATAATTCTACCTGTAAATAGCTTCAGAAAAGAACTGTTATGAATCATAATAAATATATATATCACTCAGAAACTCACCAGTCGAGGAGATTCTGAGTATTCATAAGTTAAACATGCTGCAGCTACTTCATCTAAACTCCTGCTGATATTGATGCCACCCTTATTCAAGGAGAGGTTCAGATTTAACTAATGATCAATGGAGATCACTATAACAAAGAAAATCAACAAGGCGCATCAAACAGTTACCTGAACAGGCAGCCCTGGAGGTTTGTTCAGAACAAGAATGGCAGGGTCCTAAATTTCACAAAGCATAATAAATTTACATGTTAGAAGCACAATCAACTGAGATCTCAAATAATAAGAATTAAAGTTGAAAACCTTATGCAACACTAGGCTTTGGATAAAGTTCACTTCAGCAGCAGTGATACCACACTCGTGTTTCTCTTGAGGCGTCTCTTTAACACTAGCCGGAAGAAAGATCCTATCTCCTAAGTTCAAGGTGTCTTTGGCTGTCACCTTCCATTATATGCATCAGAAGTAAAACCACTCAAAGACAACCATTAAATATGAAAAAGCGAAAAAATTCTACATGTACTAGGAAAATGACGAGAAGATGAATATGCACAAAAAAATCAATTTTTTTCACTTTTGCAGTATGATAAATTTATATAGCTGTTGGATACCCTTTTTAGTCTATGTTTGTGTTCTTGAGTTTCTATAGTTTCGTTCTCCTCAGCAGCAGATTCTCTTCGGACCTGGCATAAAGCAGTGAACATCGATTGATTAGGCTGGAAAAAAGGCCGGCATTTAAAAGTATTGTGAGGGAATCTTATATATTGCCCGTGAGAAACAAATTCAAAGACTTCAATTTTTTTCCCCTCAAAGTGAAGCATGTACACATAAATCACTGTGCCTCTGTGCCATAAGAGAACAGGGTAACTTTTTAACCCAATATGCGCTATACTCATGTGGAATGAGCGCATGGCAATAACAATTCGGGGGAGCCAATAAAATATTTAATTCAGGACGTAGTAACCGTCCATTATCCATATTTCATACGAAGGATGAAAAACGGGGGGAAACACAGAAAGTCTACACCAACTGAGAGGTTTAGAATGGAACCCTTCCCCAGTTACATAAACAACACCAGCAGGTTATGCTCTTTTCATAGCACCAAATAAACGAGCAATGGGGTTACCTGTCTAAGACGAAAGAGCTTCTGTACTAGGCTTCGGGGTAGCTCAGGGCAGCACTTAAGAACCCACTTGAGCGCAGTAGTGGTGGATGTAGCTCCAACCCCGCATTTAGCTTCGGAACGGCGGTCGGAAAGTACTTTTCCGAGATCAGCACCGTTGACGGTGGGAGTAAAAGGCGGCAGAGTAAGCCATTTGACGTCCTTCCTCTGCCCCTCAACTTCGTTTAAGCTACGAAGAGTGCTGGAGTAATATCTAGTGTGCCTGGATCCAAAGCCAGATAGGCGGAGCGTCCCACCGACATGGAGGGTAGAAGAGGATGCCGGCAAGAGGAGTTTGATGAGACGGAGGAAGATTGGCTCCGTCATGGTGATGGAAGCCTCGAGGGTTTGTTCCCCGTTTCAGACTTTCCCTTGACCAGGAAGTGTATAACCAACATAACCATGACCAAATTGGAAAAATCCCCATTAAAAATTGTACTAGTAAAAACCTTTGCAATTCAACTGTCTTTTTTTTTTTTTGATAAGGAACTGTCATTTTACTATTGAAATTTTCCCCATAAAATACCTTTATTTTTATAATAAATATATGTACTCTGATTTAAATTTTTCTAACAATCTAACCAATAAAATTTTCAGATGGGAATATAAACTCTGAAAATTATTCTTAATAGAAATATTAATTAAACAGTTTTGTTTCATGGGCTTTGGCCCAAAATGCTTCATATTTGCGCCACAATGGTGCCCTTTCTTTCCATCTCTCGGCAAGTATTAATGGATGATCCATAGATACTCGTAACCACTCTTGGGATTGTGAAGCCTTTTTTCAAAAAAAAAGAAAAAAGAAGAAGAAGCTTGATTAGCTTCCAAGACATTTAACTAATCTCAATTTTGAGTCGCAACGTAGATTTGTGTGTGAGCACCTGGAACAAGTCCTTTAATCAAGAGTACATTGCCAAGAGTTTTATAGAAAAATGCATTTGTGTTAGCTAGGCTTTTCAGCTGATCGGCCATCAAATAAATTACTGCAGTGAAGAATTTACTCAAATGTTGCTCTAACTGAGAGACAGAAATATAAGACTCATCAGCCATTAAATCCTTACATTGTATGAATAACTCAACTAGTAGAATAAACATGGGAGAAGGGGGAGTACTGACATCTAAAAGAATAAAACTGCAGATTAGGATCATCTCCTTTAGTAGTAATTGCACCATTGCGTTTATTCTTACCAGTTCATCAGTGACTTAAGAGGCACCTAAACAAATCATAAAACAGAAGGACAACTGAAAAGACTCCAAACTATGACAGGAATGCATCTTCAAGATTATCTCTCAGATCAAAATGGCAGAAGTCGAGGTGCGAGCTAGTGTCCTACACCTGGGCTTGGACCTGAATTGTCAAGCTGTATTAGAATTCTGGCATCTTCAGAACTTCTGAGCAAATGGGCTTCTCCACATGGGTTTGGCTTACAATGCTTCATTTCTACAACATTAATGGAGGCTCTTTTTTCCATCTTCTTCAATGGCCGACCTTCAACCTCAGAAAGAAGAAGACAGAGAACTAAAACAACAACGCCAGCTTGGGAACACCTTATCATCCTGCCCATTCCATGTAGAGACATCATAAATTTGGAACCAGAGCCAGACAAGTTACTTGTAGTGGGCTGTTAATAACTCTGCAGCTGGGGGAACCAGCTTTTTCTAGCTTATATACAAGGAGGGAAGAAGGGGAAGTGCAGACTTCAATGAGAGGAATAAATTCATCGGAGAAAGGAGGAAATAAAGCAGAATTGCAGAAAGGTCTTTAGGGTTTGACTAAATCGGAAGTAAAGCCAAAAAATCAAACGGATGAGAAGGTTAACTGGTCTGCGGGTAGAAACATGATGCAATTTATGGTGAATGTTATAATTATATAATTACTTATTTGAATTTCAGCCAACAGAATTTATTGGGTTTATCTAAGTTATAAAGAATTTTCCTGCACGTTCTTCATCTCCAACCATATTTCACTAAACTGGGGGAAATATCGTTGACCTAGTAACAGCAAAGACACTGTCTAAATGCATTTACCTCTGAAGATCAATACTTAGTACAGAGTTTATTTTCTATTCACTTGTAAACTAAAAATTATACTCCTCCGGTCCTAAATATAAAACCCCTTTTATAGTGTAATATACTTTTATGAAGATGGGAATATATCTTGGACCTGTGAGGTTCCTACGGTGCAAGTTGCAGTATGGAAGAATAAATGGTTGAGGATTTAGTGAGTTGGCAGATTAATGGAGATAGCGTATAATAAGTTAAGTTGGGGATTGAAATTGAAGATGCACGTGTAAATCCCCGATTTCTAGCTTAGGAATGATAGAAATGGGAGGGTTTTGACTTTTGAGCATTTTTGTCTGAATTTTAAACATAAAGACATGTACTACTTGTTGACAAATTATAGTATGGAGACTGGAGCCTGCCAAACCAAATCAGCTGGCCAACACTAAATCTTGTATTGCTCAGCCTTCTATGCTACCTTCTCGCCTTCAAATTTTCAACTTTCAAGGTAACATTTCCTTCTCCCTCAAGCTACTATCATCATAGAAAGTCTTAAATTTCTCCTTCCTTTCTTGAACTATACGACACTTTGAGAAATTTTGAACCCCATCTGCCTCCAGAGTACAAACTTCTAATGAGCAACATATAAGTAATAATTAAATTTTAACATGAAATATATGTTAATATGTAGATATGAGCTATGCCAATAGTATATATTTAATAAATAAATAAATACAGAACATGATAGGGTGATTTTGGAGTCAATAAAGCTTTGAGCATTTCATTTTCAGTTTCACTATTGAAAGTCACAGGTAGCTTTAGCCACAACCGAAATTCTAGATACACAAGAAAATATGACTGACGATATTCGAAAGTCACTTTCGAGATTTTTACATCTGATTTGATACTTCTGTTACACTCCTATGGAAAAAGGAAAAGACTGTATGGGCTTTTCTTCCTCTCATGTAGAAGGGAAGTCAAAGAAATGGCCTCTCAACTGATTCAGTATCTGCCACGATTTCTTAAAGTTTCAAGATTAGGTTCCAATAGCACCCAACCATAAGCTCCGAAAGTTGATGTTTGTTTAAGTGATGGTGACTAGCACAGTGTGGACAGAATTAATTGGCGTGAAAAGTTGCTTCTGCCCTTTCATTTCAAAAGCTCCAAGAAAGATGAATAAACTTCCACACTTTAATTTAATGATTGCCTTTCTTCGTTAGTTTTACAATTTGGAGTTACTGAACAAAGTAAAATTGTCCTTATACAGATTTTGATCATGTCAATTCCTAATTGTTAGGCACGTTTACAGTTTAAATTTTCAAACATCGTCTACCACGAGGCAGATATAAAAGTTGTTAGCGTGTTTGTTTGGGAATTCCAAAAGTCTAAAATTATTCTAAGTTTTTTTTTTTTGGTTTATATCAGACCAAAAAAAAAAAAGAAGAGGTATACTGTACATGTAGTTTCACTTATCGTCTCCTTTTTCTTTTTGAACTTTACAAGAATTCCATCATGAGCTCTAGAGAATTTTGGCACATTTGAATGTATTTGATGCTGATTATTGAACACGTGTAGATTTGTCTTAGCAGAATCTGTTTCATTTTTCTTCTTGGTGCCAAATTTGGACTGTTAGAAAGAGAAGTACAAAGTAGAAATGATAAGACCACAGATAATTTGGTGGGTTGATCTGTTTCATGTCCAAAGTACTGCACCGTCTGAATCTAAAAGATTTGATTAAAACTTATGAGTCTGGAACACTTACTCTTAGAGGCTTGGAGCTGTCAAAAAAGGTACTTTTACTTCCACACCCATCCACTAATTCCACTTTCTTTTCCTAGTTTTGGCAATGCACTCCTTCTTTTCAGAATATGCAATGTACTTAATTGGTCGGAAACTTGAAAGTTCTGGCTGAGCTTATGAGAACTAATCATCACTGTGTAGCGTGCCAATTTAGACAACCATCTGCAGGAAAAAGTTCATCTCAGAGCACCAACGTTGCTTTCAATATAAGATTCAAATTAAATATATTGTAAACTGAGACACGATAAGCCATGGGCTATCATTCATTTTTAAGTTAAAGATTTTCATATGTATTAGGGTTCTAGAAAGCTGATGTGGAAAAGCTTTATTGAATTTTCTTTGTCATTGAGGTATGAAATATATGTATATATAAAGTAAACTTGATGACATGAGAAAAAGAAAGTAGAAAAAGGATTGCGTATTAAATGCATGGAAAATATTTTCTTTGAACTGAAAGTATGATTAAACAACAGTGATATTTACCTTTTTTAATGAAAATTAACATGCTTTTAAGCAGACAGAGTTTTGACGAACTGGAATTTATTTTATAACCAATTATCTTTTAGTTTTATATTTTTCCAAGTGTATTTAGGTATTAAAGACATGATCTCATGAATTCTTACAATGACCTTTCGTACCCATCATAGAATTTCATTAATCTATAGGTTATGACTATATATGAGGCACTTCTCTTTACGTTGAAAAGCTTCTCACAAATACAAATTAGTCTTTGAAACGCACATTTTTTTTCCCTTTTGCAAAAGTGAATCGTTTGTTTGCCGACTAAAAATAGAAGGAAGACTAAAATGTGCAGGGGCTTGCAGAGGAAACTGCAATTTCAAAGGTAGAGTGAATCTGTGATTAATGACTTACTGACATCTGAACTTGGTGGCTTCTCATTTGTGGTCCATAGGGTTACTTGCATGAGCTAAATGAATTGGACCATCGTGCTTGTCATTTTCTCACAAATCTTCATTTTTTAAAATCACCACTCTAATTTCAATAGGGTAAATTGGACCATCATGAGCTAAATGAATTGGACCATATTGCGTGTTGGAATCAAGGAAAGTATATTTTTTTGGAGAAATATTCCAGGCACTGCAAAAGCAAAACAAAATTAAAAAGGTGATTATTTTATCTGATGAATCTAAGAATCTGACTTAGAACGTAACGATGGCTCTTTTTGAGTGCAATTAGCATATACCGTGATACTTATCTCTTCAAATTCAGACTTGACTCTTCGAGGTTAGGTCCAAAGCCATCATCTTGAGACTTTTCTTTGAAAGAATTTGGTAAACTAGATTCGTCCAAAGGGTCAAATGAATGAAATATTTACATTTTTGTACAAGAGCAAGCAAAATGGGCGTTGATTTGTTTAATGAATTGCACCAAATGTTATCCACGTCAGTCGTATCTAATTGCGGCGTGAGAAACTAACACTATAAAGCCATTTGACTGTTGATTAAGACGTCAGTTGAAGCTACTATCATTTTCCTATTCAACTTCATTTTCCAATCTGAGAACCTCCCTTGTGGGTTCCTCTCAGCAACAAGAAAATGATTTTTCTGGTTTAAGTGCCCAGAGCCAATTCATTATAAATATGATCTCCCATGCACCCAATTGAGCAGCAAAGTCATAGTCTGAGATATATTGTTATGCACACTTTGATTTTCAACATGGCTGGAAGATTCAGATGTATCGCCTTGTTCATTGTCGTTGTTGTTGTTGTTCTTAGCGCGTCAGAAGGAAGGCCATTGAAGGATCAAGAAGAGGAGGTGAGAGGGATATTCAGGACAATGAAGAACTCAGGGCCAACCCTTGGTCCAGGACACGGGGTTAAGAAGGTTGAGAATATGAAGGGGATGAAGAAGTCTGGTCCGAGCCAAGGCGGAGGCCACTGGCTGGCAAAGGGTGAAGAGATTGGAGCGGTTAAGCATTCAGGTCCGAGCCCTGGTCAAGGAAACAAGGCAGCCTTTTCTGAAGGCAACGGTTCATGATTCTCTCATGGATGGCTTCTCACTTCTTCTTTGCAGGCGAATGCAAATATCCTATGTCTACTCATTCTTCAGATATTTCATTTCAATCTTACCATAGTCTTAAAAAGTAGTGCGAGGCACATAAGAAGTTTTAATTTCAGCTAGATTGCACCGTATTATTTTTTGTTATCATTTTTATAGTTTCATTCCAAGGAAAACAGAGCATGCGTGATGATAAAGATCCAATCACTCTGCCCCAGCAACCTAGTCAACGGGAAATTTCTTCTCTCTGCACACTTGAAGCTCCGATGTTGTCTGGTCTTAATCACGGAGCTTCACAAAATGGCTTCCCTTTCTGTGTTTGACTGTTTTCAGTAAATATATATCTTGCTCCTTTTCCACTGTGTTCTTTCTTCTTTTGCTTAAACCAATACACTACCTCCTTCTCCTTCTGTATTTAATATAAAACTTTATTTGACTTTTATTTTGATCTTAAATATAAGATCGCAATTTATTTTTTCCCCTTATATTTATATTTTTTCTTAAGAAAGTTTATAATTCTAACCAATACACTTGATTCGTAAGATATTTTAGGAAAGACAACGCCTATTTATTACAAATAATTAATTTAACTTATTTCTTTAATATTCTCAAATTAATCAATTAGTTCTTATACTTAGGACAAGACATTATCCGCTGTCCTCTCAAAAAACGTCTCTGTTATCCTCATGCGTTGTCACTGTATCACCAATCTTTCTAGTTATTCCCTGACCTTTTCGCTATCAAAATACCCAGCCATTGCTTGCTTTTTGCGATTTTATCTTGCTGTGTTTTTTTTTTTTTTTGGTTGCCAAATGCTATGCTTATCTTAAAACAAGACCATAGTCGCAAGATAGTTTAAGAGTCCATTTTAATTATAAATTAAAATATCAATTAACTCTATCTTCTACTATATTTGTTATTTTCCCCCAGATTACTTTTATTGGTTGCATACATCAGTGTGTGAAATTAATGAGGGTATTTGCAAGTATTTTCAATATAAATAATTAAAAAATTGGTGTTTTAAAAGATTATTAGGTCGTCTTCAATGACTTGTACTGGATTATTTCTCTGGTCTCATAAAATGTGGACGGTGGTGACATGCTACGCGTGCCTGCATGTGAGTGGACTCTCAGTACTTGGGCTGGGCATAAAAGGCCCAATTCTCAGCAAGGGGAGAGCCTTGGGCCTGCAATCCACCATTGGGGTTGATGGGTCCATGGACTGACGATTGCATCAGATCCCCTATAATAACTAATATAGTGCTTTTGTTTTGCAAGGGAAATTTGAAACGAGAAAAAGAAAAAATTAAACCCTATTATCTGGCACCCTATAATCAAAATGATGGTTGAAGGGGTGTCCTTAAACAATCAGAGCCTAGGTGCATTGGCTTCACTTCAAAATGTGATGGATAGTACGTTTCTGTATTATTCCAATTTATTTTTATTTTATTTTGTTTTTCATTCACCGAGTGTAGTGATAAATGCAGATATTAAAGAGATTAGAGTGATACAGTCAAGGGCAATTTTGAAAATATAGGGTGATATAGTCAAGAGCAATTTTGAAAATATATTAATAGTAAGTTCTGAAAAAAAAATTAAGTTTATTGATTAATTTGAACTAAATCTTTTATTGGAAGAATTATAATGAGGTCCTAAACAAACAAAAAACAATTGAAAAAAAGTCCCAGAAACTGTTATTCTCACTAAAAGACTTGTCGTTATAGATTATTAAGGTTGTCATTAGAACTTTTTGGTAATTATTTCTTTTTTACGGGACTTGATTGTATTTTTTTTTTATATATTTTGTGTGATTCGATCAAAAGCAACCACAATACATAGACTACTTGTCTTGATCAAGATCCATCTCATGAAGCCAAGGTGAAGATTGATCAATGATTCATTATCTTCTAACCTATGATAAGATTAATTCTATCCAATACAAACGAGTATACCGAGAAAAAGTATGCGTATTAATCCGTCTACCTACAAAAACAATTTTAATACGAAACTATTAATCTCATGCCTGACTAGCTTGTTGCTTTTAGGTAATTTGTTAATTTTAGGTAGCAAATGAGAAAATGCGTTTTTGGGTAGGTGTGCGGCCAAGGAATGTTGGTGGGATAGTGACAGCCATTGTGGTTGTGCGTGTCTTTAGAAGGCAGAGCGTATTGTCTTTGATTAATTTTTGTAATTATCACGAATACAAAAGAAGAATATTATATTTTGTCAGATACTCCTACTCTTATAATCCTATTTATAAGACACTTCCAGCATGTTTCACATAGACCAAGAAGAACCTTAAACTTCATTAACTCTTATTTAAAATTTAATGACTTTTTAACTTTATCCCTATTTAATATACATTATATCTCATATAAACAAGGTCAACACAATAATAAATGAGGGGTAAAATTGTATATTCATACAAAAAAAATTTCTTAGCGTCCTATAAACAGGACTAAAAAATACATTCTCTTTCTGTCTTATAAATAAGACCAGAGGAGTACTGTTGATTCTTCCACCTATTTATGTATTGAGAAAAGATTAACAAGAATGAGAATCACCCAGGAACATTCTCTCTGTTTATTTAATAAATTAATCGATCTCAGGCCCCAAAAAAGAAAAAACAAATCAATCACGTTATAACAGTAATTAAGACTTAGGGCCTGTTTGGATAACATAGAAAACCATGGTTTTGATGGTTTGGGTCCCAGACTTGCCAAACACTCAAGAAAAAACAGAAATCATGGTTTTGGATTAAAACCATGGTTTGGAGCTCAAAACCATGGTTTCAGAAGAAGTGAATCCATTCTGCTTCTGGCTCAAATAGGAGAGTATGATTATGCCTGCAGAGTAGATCTCACGATAATATGATTTTAACATTCCTCAATTTTTTTTATAAACATATTTAATCTTATATTTTATAAATATATATATACATATTAATTATATTATTTTATATATTATTAATTATTTTGGTAAAAAAATATATTATTAACAATTTTATTTTTTCAAATTAAAATATATTATAAAATCTATCTTTTATGTAATTATCATATTAACTTATGTTTTTTTTAGTAAAATTTGTACATATAAAAAGTTCTTCTGATAACAACTATCCAAACACTTTCATTTATCAGAATCACTTTTTTATAAAATCTATTCTTTACAAAATTTATTTTTTCCAGAATCTATTCTGTAAAAGTTATTTTTCAAACCATGATTTTGTTTCATCCAAACACCCCCTTATACGTTGAAGTGTCCGATTATGGTTAAGTAAATAAATATGCTGCCTAAATAATACTATATATATATATATATATAAGTTTAATTTGTTCATAGCCTAGCATATTTTAGCCATTCACGCGCGTGCTTACTTTAGAGATAAGATCCAGAAAAAAAACGACTCATATCACATATATAATAATTTAAACTGACAATGAAATGAAATGATGGAGGGGGCGCATTGCCCTATCATAGGAACAGATAGCCAAATGTCTACGACAAATTAAAGCGTCCAAGTTAATATGAGCCCTTGGGTGCAAATAATACAATTACAGTATATATCACAAAGCTGAGTCAGCTGACACTATGCCACCTGGCAGTCTTCGCTATACATTCCAGTCATAATTTCAACTTAGGAAATTTATCAAAAACGCTTTGTCAAGCATTAAGCTCCACTTCTCTTCCAATTCTTCCACGGCCTCTCCCTCACAAATTACCCCTCAACAGCGTCATTAGATACCCCTTCCAATCCTCTCGAAGAAATTAAGGTCCGCGACCTCAGACATGGGCTCTCAGTCTCTTGTCCATGTCTTCTTGGTCTCCTTCCCAGGTCAAGGTCACGTCAACCCTCTTCTCCGGCTCGGCAAGCGCATCGCCTCCAAGGGCCTCCTCGTCACCTTCTGCACTCACGAAAGCTGGGCTATACAGATGAGAAAAGCTAGCAACACCACCGACGAGCCAGCTCCCGCCGGCGACGGCTTCATCCGGTTCGAGTCATTCGACGACGGTTGATCCGAGTACGAGCCCAGACGCCAGGACTTAGACCAGTTTCTTCCCCAGCTCGAGCTCATCGGCAAGGAGATTTTCCCTCGCATGCTGAAGGCTCACGCCGACCGGGGCCGGCCGGTCTCTTGCCTCATCAGCAATCCGTTCATCCCTTGGGTCACTGACATGGCCGAATCACTCGGCCTCCCTTCTGCTATGTTGTGGGTCCAATCCTGTGCTTGCTTCTCTGCTTATTACCACTTTTATCATAAACTCCTTCCTTTCCCATCAGAAGATCAAATGGAAATCAGCGTCCAGCTCCCGAATATGCCATTATTGAAAGACGATGAAATCCCAAGCTTCTTGTATCCTACAACCCCATACCGTTTTCTGAGAAGAGCTATCATGGGACAGTATAGGAATTTGGAAAGACCCTTTTGCGTCCTCATGGACAGCTTCGAAGAACTCGAACGCGAGAACGTGGAGTACATGTCGAAGATATGCCCTATTCGAACCGTAGGGCCGTTGTTCAAGAACCCCAAGGTGCCGAACAGCACTGTGAAGGGTGACATTTTGAAAGCCGATGATTGCGTCCTCGACTGGATCAACACGAAGCCTCCTTCCTCAGTAGTTTACGTTTCGTTCGGCAGCGTCGTGTACCTGAAACAAGAGCAAGTGGACGAGATAGCGTATGGGCTTTTGGATGCAGGGGCTTCCTTCATCTGGGTGATGAAGCCACCACATAAAGATTCTGGTTTCGAGCCTCATGTTCTTCCAGATGGGTTTTTGGAGGAAGTAGGGAACAGAGGAAAGGTTGTTCAGTGGAGCCTACGGGAACAAATTCTGGGCCACCCCTCGGTGGCATGTTTTGTGACTCACTGCAGGTGGAACTCGACCATGGAGGCTATAACTTCGGGGGTGCCATTGGTGGCGTTCCCCCAGTGGGGAGACCAAGCGACGAATGCAAAGTACATAGTTAATGTCTTTAAGGTTGGTGTTAGGATGCGCAGGGGTGAGGCTGCGAATGAGTTAATCCCAAGGGAGGAGGTGAAGAAGTGTCTTTTGGAGGCTACGGTGGACCACAATGCAAAGAAGATGAAGGAGAATGTGTTGAGGTTGAAGGCTGCGGCGGAGGCCACCGTGGCAGAAGGCGGCTCATCTGATCGGAATATTCAGGAGTTTGTGGATGAAGTGAGGAAGAGAAGCGTAGAAATCTTGAAGAAGAATAGCAAGATTATTGAGGGTTCTGTGAACAACGTGGTTTCGCCATTAAATGGCGCAGGTGCAGATTTACTTGGTGCCAAGTCGAACGGAAAGGTTCAAGTGGCTTGAAGAGCTTTATAGTCCAGAGAAAGCGCAATAGTTGGCCAGGAATGTCTGAATTGAATGCTTCCAGCTTTATATTTTGAATATGATTATTACTACCTCCGGTCAACCCTCTTTGACTTTTTATTTGGTTCTAATTATAAGACCCCAATTCATTTTGTCTCTCATATTTATGTATTTTTTTCCAAGGTAGTCCTTCTAATAATGATAGTTCTAGCCAATACATTTAATTAGCAAGGATATTTTAGAAATGACAATACTTATTTATTACAAATAACTAATTTAACTTACTTCCTTAATCTCCTCAAATAAGTCAACTGGGTCTTATAATTAGGACCGGAGGTAGTATTAATTTGATCTTCACACACACACATATATATATCTTTCGTCAGTAATAATATATATGTGCTTGAATTCTTATTTCTGCTTAAGAAATTTAGTGCGGCGTAATAAGTTTCTATCTCCTCTAGCCTTAGATTGAGTAATTTTTTGAATATAATCGTACTATTTTCAGTCATAATTATAAGACTTTATTTATAAGCTATAAATAAGGTCTTATAATTAAAATAAGAGGTAGTAGTATTTAACGGCCTATACATGATTGCTGTAAGTATTTTCAATTAAATTTATATGGGAATTAACTTGTCTACTTTGCCAGCTTTTAATTTTTTTTTTAAAAAAATCGGAACTTAATGTCTCTTGTCCGTCCACCCGTGGTTCGGGACTTTTCTTCTTTCCTTCCCATCCTCTTCCCTCCTCTTCTTTTTTTAACCGTTAGATTAATATATTTCAATTGTTGAGATTTTAATTTTTTATAAACCATTTATTAAAAAAATTTAAATACATTTAATGCACTTGCAAACCACTAGAATTAAATTTTAATATAGTTCTGGTTTATTATTTATTTATTTTTATAATTTAATATTTTAATAATAGTTTTAAAAAGATTTAAATCTGAGCCATTACAATATTAATCTAACGGTTAAAAAAAAAAAAAGGATGAGAAGGAAAGAGGAGAGGTTCCAAATCGTCCTGAGGGGTTGATGTGGGCATTAGGCATGCAACTTTTGGTTGAACTCACAGATAGTTAATGGCATTAATTAATTACGGTCCGTGTCATAGACTACAGGCCTGTTTGGGTGCTCTGAAACCGTGGTTTCAGAAGCACTTTTCCGCAAAACGAGATAACATCCTCCACATATTTACTTCGTAATTCGTAAAAGCACTTCTGAAACCATGGTTTAGTTTCTATCCAAACACTCCCGTATACATAGAATAATTTGGCTCCATGTCGTTTTAAATAAAGTGATGATGTTATGTATGACTGTATTATTATAATATTACATCTAATTTTTAATATAAGAGTTAGTTAACTAATTTAAGTAAATTAAAAAAGTTTGTTGAGTTGGTTATTCGTAATAATTAAGTGTTGTCTTTTCTAAAATACCCATATTAATTATGTATTAGTTAAAACTAAACATTTTACATGTGCAACTAGTATAAAAACTACCTTAAAAAATAGATAAATATAAAAGACAAAATATATTAGAATCTTATATCTAGAACTAAATTAAAAGTCAAAATAGCTTTTATATTAAAAACCGAAGGTATTAACTTTTTCATACTTCATGCTATAGGAGTTAATTAAACAATTTATTTGATCCCAAATAAAAAAATCTCAGTCTTTGCTATATCCCATATTTTAAAAGAATCATTATATATATTTTTTAGCAATACAATTAACTTATCTAAATTCTTTAATCTATATGAATTGTCTGATTAATAGTTTCTTTATTTAAGATTGAAGTATGTCATAAAATACCAATATACTATTATCTCTGGTCTTTAACATAAAAATTAGTTAAAAATTCAATTTATTTTTAAGTATAAGAATTAAATCTATTTTATCTTCAATATTTATTCATTTCGCTCCCAAATAACTCATATGATGATTATTGCATATATTAAGAAGCTTTCATCACGAGGTAATTTCAATACACATGATTAATAAGAATATTTTAAAAAATATAATATCCATTTATTGCAAGTAATTAACTTAACTAATTTTCTTAACCAATAAATTACTTATAAGAACCCAACTTAATATTAAGGAACCAAACACTTGGGTTGAAGCCATGAACAATAATACAGCATATGAATAGGGGGATAAGGATGACATGCACGGACTATGAAAGCAGAGAAACAACGTGGAAGGAGTAATTAAACATATTGGAAAAAATGATAAAGGATTGGGATCCTTTATTTGAGCCAAGAAAGTTTTGCCCAACATGCCCCTCACTCCTTTTGTTCTCCCTCTCTTATCCCATCATGCTTGCACTCTTCTCACATTCATGTAGTATTGATCATTTGTGATTGTAAATGCAATGAGAGTGTTTTCTATAATCTTCTTTTGGCTTCAGAGCCGACTCCTCTTGAATGGTTTGCAAACGAACCGTTTCAGGAGTCGTATACATTTGTTGATCATACATTAATATGAAAAGATCTTGAACTGAGATGAATATGGACCTTGCAAGCAAATGCGATTATGCCAGTGAGTTCAAAAGTTGGGTTGAAGGAGATTCCGTAACGTACGTATAGTTAATTACGTAGCCCACCCCTCTTTGGAATGTTAGGTATTGAGCTCATATACATCAACTCATAACTTTAGTTTATTAATAAAAACATTCCGATATAAATTAATGTTGAAAGTTTAAGAAGAATTTATAAATTTGAGAAACAAAATTAATTGAAGTATTATATTTAAAATCAAAGTTGAGTTAGTTCAATCCAACTAGCTTTTAACTTTAAGATGGGAAGCAGTGCCAATACTTAATTTTCAATTCACATGCATTAATATTATCTTCATGAAAGTAAGAGGTTTTACATAATGGGATTGAACTTGATTGTTTTCCTCGGATGCCGGCTAGGTTTATAAACAAACAGATGGCGTGCGTGTGATTGCGAGCCATGCTTGTGTTTTGAGCCTTGGGGTTTCGGCGTGTTGGGATTGTACCTTGTGGTTGGTCGGTGACAACACTAGTGTCCACAAACACAAACACAAACACAAACACTACACTCATCATCATATTTCTTATCAAATTATAACAATTGCTATATGCGTAGTACTCCTATATGAGAATCCGAGGCCTCAATTCTCAAGAAGAAACAACCAAAAAAGCAGAACAACCTGCGGATGAATTCTAATTATTGTCGAAGTCTATCTATATAATCCCAAAAACTATATAAAGTCCAAGTATACATGGTTATGGTCAAATTTCGCCTAGCTTTGCGATTATACATACGAGACTGTATAATAATATATATTGTCCTAGCCCAACATATAATTAAAAAGCGGATTAACATACATAACAAATAAAACAAATTAAATATATAGGAGTGTGTGTTTAACTATACTTTTATGTCTCATTTTCTTTCCAAACCTGCATGATTATATTAGTGTAACTTATTTGATTCAAGAGATTATTATGGTGTGAGATGGAGTTCTGGCTTCCAATTTCAGATAAGTACCACAACAATCCACGATTACAATATACGTCAACAAGAAGAAATCAGTACATCTTCGAAGGGGGAAAAAGAAATACACAGAAATGAAAAGTTTGGAGGCATATAAATACATACATACATGTAAATATGTATATATAGTTATGTCCACCCACACACACACATTTATATACATAAAAAAACCAAGGCATGCGATTGGTTGCCAAAAAGCATAATTACTTCTTAGTTCTTATGAAAGCTCTAAGACCTTAATCTTAGCTGCGCCGAGTCGTCGTCCAGGAGAGTCGTTGGAATTACAGTATGGAGAATGAGTAGATGAAATATATATGCTCATTCGCACGTCAATGACCACGTCCTTTGTGGCTAGGCCCAGAATAAGCTTTGTTGCTTATTATAGAAGAAGAAGAAGAACCATACTGATGTTTCAGAGGTCTGAAGGCCTCAACAATGGTGGAATACGATAGCAGAAGGAAGAAAACGAGAAAGATGGCATTAAATGCCACAGCAAGAGAGTAATAACCCTTCATCATTTTTGTTTTTCCGATTTCAAAATGATTCGGTTTGGTGCAAGACGCCAAGAGGAATAATGCTATATATATATATATTATGTGAAGTTGTGAACTACTGCGTTCCTCTGACTTATACAAAGCATATTTTTCAACGTTCGAAATTCTAAATTTTGAATCAGACCAAGAATTATTAGTTGGAGGGTTTGGAAACAACATTAGCCACGTGGATGCAGAGAAAATTATTAACAGTGATGAGGAAGAAAAATCTGTGTCTCAAGACGTAAAGCACACGATTTATTAATTGACTATCTAAGGTTTTTTTTTTTTTTTGCCATCACCTTGTACGTATAGTTAATATTAGGAGCTAGTCAACTTCGTAAGATACATACATATATATATATATATATATATATATATTAGTAGCTAATTCTTCGTTGAAAGTTGGTGGACGTGACATTAAATTTGGGTCAAATTTCATGGCTTCACGATGCTTCCAACCTAGTTTTAAGTTCTATGGATACGTACATGTAATAGGAAAACATGATATATTGATTTGGCCTTCCATCATTATAAGTAACAAGAGGTTACTTGTCTTACCAGTACTGGGAATTGACTGATGGTCGTATATCTTCTATTCTGTGATGGAAGTGCTACTGTGTGTATCTACCCAAAGTTAAATTATTTATGTTAGGTAGCATGAAGGGTCATTTAAAATTCAAACTCCGTATATGTGTTGTCATGATCACAAAAAAGTACTGATGGTGAAGAAATTAACGACCCCACTTGTGATGCAAATATAGAGTAAAAAGCAAACTTGCATCGTATTCTGTATAGGGAAAGTTACAATTATACATCAAGTAAAAAAAAATTAATTACTGATAATTTTTTTCAGAATTTGATTCATTAGAAAGAGTAATTTTTTGATAAACAAAAGTACAAAGTTATTCCACCGTTCTTTTGGCATCCATGTAATTTTAACCAGTTATTGATCAGTGATGACTGGTCAACTGGTGTGGACCAGTCAATAATTGGTTAAAAATGATCGATTTATTTTAGTAATTTTTCAATACTTTTCAATTTATAAGTTTTTTTTTTATATTTACAAGTCAAAATTATAAATTTACACATCATTCTGTATTGTTTTTTTTACATAATTTCAGAAAATTTTAATATTTAAAAATTGATCTTTATTTATAAAATTAAACGCAAAATTTTGCATGTATCTTTATAAAATAATTCTGAAAATTCTCTCGTTATAAAATTTATTCAGCAAAATAAAGTTACATACTTAATGACCCAAACAATCTAGCAAGTGCAATTCCTTTTTACTTGTGTGCAACGCAGCACACAGGTGTGGATTCTCTTAGAATCCTTTGGTCTCGTTTTTTTTTTATCAAGTTTTTATCTTCACTGTTAGAATAAAAAGATGAACGGTTCAAATTTAACATTTAAAAAAAATGTCCATCTTCTCTCTCCTTTTTTATATAATATTATAATAATAATTTTATAAAATATTGAACATGAATTATCTATTTTTTTGATAGATGAGAGTATGAGAGTATTCAAATCCCTTTAACTATATACAAAATGTCTTCATATAGTTCTAAACAAATTTCAGATATCTTTGGACAAAAAGGGTTTTAATTAAGAAAGTTTCAGTAATTTTTCTTATTTATATTCCTTTCACTAAGTGAAAATAAAAAGAGAAAAAAAGAGAAAATATTAATTCTATTGACGAGTCAACTCAAAATTCTGACAGACGCGGCAATAATAGGACGTGAAGTTCACATGCCCCTAATACCGCAATGGACAATTGAAAAGCCACATCAAAATTTAGATCACGATGCTTTAAACTAAACACATTCCCTCCAACTTGACTTTTATAGCGTGTCGTGTTGCACAAACGAGGAATAAACTCTTCAGCCTAGGCTCGGCGTCAGAGGAAAACATGTGAGGGGGGCGAAAATTTGTTAATGTTGAGAATAATGAAAATTATTTTTAAGGGGTGAATTTAAAATTTTCTGAAAATTAAACCAATCTCAAAATCAAACTGATGTATACCAGCGAGTTGGGACCGTGTTGCAATTAATCTTTTTTCTGGAAATCATTATGGTATGCTCAAAAGTTGCCTCACACAGTCTAATGATTTACAGAGGCAAGCAAGAAGATAGCATTGAAGTCGAAACATGTGATGATGTTTCATAGTTTAAAACAAAACCTTGACATTTCCATGGTATCCCCCCCCCCCCACGTGCGAACTACGTCTTGTAAAGTCATCCTCCTTTTCCTTTTCTTTCACTTTGCCTTCTCCACCTTCCCACCTTTCACGTTGGCTATATATCTTCATACACAGCGGAATCCTTTTTCCCAGAAAAGAAGAGATTTTGGAGAAAGGGTTTTTCGTTTCATGCCATAGATGTTTCTGCTGCTTGGTGGGTTCGTTCAGGATCTTATGTTGATGAGGAAACGTTAATCCCCATCGCAGGTGACCAGAAATCAGCACCATTACTGCTGGCCACGTGTACGGTGGATTCCACTGGGATCAGACATAGTCCTCTGCTACTCAACTCTCCTTTGCCTTCCTGTCTCTTGTTCATGTTAACCCCATCTCCCTGAAATAACGACGCCGCGTTAAGGTTATTTTTGGATGGAGGGACAAGTAGACAGAAAAACAAGGATAGAGAAAGAATACTAAAAAAATTCAAAAATAATAAAAATATTTTTTTCCAAAGAGTTCTGGCTTATAGTACTTTTTTTCTCCTCTGATCATCAACCCAGCTTTCATCTCTCCCAGGTTGACTGGTCAGTCACGGCAAATAACGGTCAACCGGATGTACTAAAAATTAAATGGGAGGGGTTATTAAAATGCCTATGTCAATTGAAATAAAATTAATTATGATTAAAATAATGTATTTTAATTAAATTACATAAAAATATTCATATATAATCATTAAAAATAATATTTAAATAAAAAAGCATCAACCTACAAGTAAACGAAACATTTATATACACACTACATATATTATAAATTTATAAGAAAACACAGTTCTTAAAACATAAATTTCATAAATCGATATTGTTTTTAACTCAAGATGATATTTGTTTCATGTTAGATAAGAGGTGGAAAAACTATAAAATCCAAGTCAATTCAGTCAGGAGATTGGTTTAGAGTTAAAGAATCCGAATTAGATTTTAATAGGCGGTCAACTTTCCAACCAGGAAAAAGTTTGTAAACCAACCGACTACAAAAAATTTAGAAAAAGTGAAAAACCTCGTAAAATTGAAGAGCGACAAAAAATAAGGTGGGGTCCACCTTCTATGTTTGTCTTCCCCCAATCTTACTCGTCCTTTCGAGGATGGAACTCTCAATTGGGGGTATGGTCGCAATCAAAACAAGCTGGTCTTGCTACTGAATAGCCCAGTGAGTCCAAGGCTATGTTTTGTCCGTGGAAGAACAGAGCAACTATTGGTACATTTTTTTGTTCTCTTCTCAAATGGAAAGCACAGAAAAATACAACCATGAAAATGATAATGAGGGAAATGGGACGCACCGTACGGTGGTGGCGGGGATGAGGCGAAGGAGGAGGTGCCTGCAAGTAAGGCGAGCAGAGGACCTGAACTTGGTCGTGGAGAAACCTTATGTATCCCATTGCCTCGTGAAGCACCGAAGCTGTATCTGTCTGCAACAAATTCCAAGTTCCGAAACTCATAAATAAATGTCATTTATTTTTCCGAAATCCTAGAAAAATAATATAACATCATGTTCTTGCATTATAGTATATATGCCCAGGTTGATGTTACTTACCTTCCCAAATGGAGAAACGAGCTGTTGTAACGCTGCGATTCGCTCCCCAAGTTTCTCCTTCCTCTGCCATTAGAAAAACCAAAAACCAGGAACTGAAACGAATGGGGACAACATATACAAGTACAAAACACAGCAGTGTCTGTCTGATTTTAAGGGAGAGAAACAGACGGGAACATAAAAGAGAAAGCGACATGCAAAAACAGAACGCCATCCGTTGTCGATTGTCCTCACCTTTGCATGTCCTGTTGAAGTGGGGTTCTCCGCTCTGGCTTTCTTCGAATGTCTCCGGCCACCGCCACCAGCCGCCGTGGCGCCGGAATCAGTGCAGCAACCCATTTCCTGTGCCGACCCACCACGTTTTTTCTGCATAACAACAAACAAGAGAGAGGAAATTATCGAAACAGTATGATTGTGAGTCTAACAGGACAAAAATCAAAGACAGGGAGAAACCATATCGCGGACATTAGACTTATGGTTGCAGGAGGAAGAAGCAGAGGACGATTCGCTAGAAGTGATGACAGATTTCTGTGGGGTAACAGCGTTGGGTTCAGAAACCAAGAGGTCGCCATGACTGTTTCGATAGCCCTCGAAACAGAGCATTTTGGGGGGGCTGCCGTTGCCAATCGAGAAAAGAGAGTGATGATGATGGGGGAGGTGGTCCACATCGCCATGTCCGAAAAGAAGCTGAGAGAAACTGGAGGTTGGGGTCAGAAGGTGGTCCCCGTGGAAGCCGTCGTCGTCCTCCATATGAAGGTGTGAAGTATTGCGTAATCTGAACGAGAGAGTGAAAGAGAAGGGAGGGGGATGGATTGACGGGAGAAGACAAGTGAAGTGGTGGGAGAGAGAGAGAGAAGGGAGAAGGAGAGAGATTTTGTAGAGTTGGGCTGAGTTTGGGCTTATTCCAAGGAAGGCTTCGGTTTTCGGCATTGGACGGTCAAACCCACTAGGCCCGAGAAAACCGTGGTTGAGCCCTCCAACGCACCTTCTTACTTTCCCTTTTCCGGGTTCGGGTACTCCCACCGACTCACCATTTCCTGAATTCACCTCCCGTTTCTACTTTGACTACGGTTATTATCATCATGACATGTCATGGATTTCAAGGTATAAAATCCGGGGAAACGCATGGTTGACTGACATGAACTAGAGAGTATTTAGGGGGTGTTTAGATAAAAACTAAACTATAGTTTCAGAAGTGTTTTTATGATTTACGAAGTAAATATGTGGAGGAATTTGTCTCGTTTTGCGGAAAAGTGCTTTTGAAATTATGGTTTGGAGGTTGCCAAACACCCCTTAGATGGAATTAAAATCATAGTTTTAAAAGTATTTTTACGATAGATGAAATAAATATGTGAAAAAAATTATCTTATTTTACGAAAAAATACTTCTAAAAAGTACTTTTTGAGTGCTTCTAAATACTCTCTTAGGCTGGATTTAAATCAACAATTTCTTCTTGTGGTAGTCAAAAGAAGTTTTTTTTTTTTTGCCTAAGCACATATATATTTTTTTTACTGAAGACAGTTCTATTTTGTTGATTATTAAATTTAGACATCTCTTCTAAAATTATCAAAAGAAGGTTTTTGACAATATCTTTTTTTTTTAAGCTGAATAGTCCATAGTATTAAAACTTCAAAAACCAGTACAAACACTAATAATTATAAATCCTATGTATTATATCTAAAATAAATTGCTCCATCTAATAATTACACCTTTATTTATTTTTTGAGACAAGTATAATCACTTTATTAATATTTTGCTTCATTGCATTATAAGAAAGATGCCCCTACAGCATAAAAAGATACGCTATTTTTATTATAATGCTTAATAATAAGAATTTATTATTATTTTTTTAATCAGAAAATCTTTCTCATTCATAAATTTCTTTTTTAATTTCATTTTCTATAATATTATTGCATACAATTTTTTATCACATAACCAGCGTATAAATTTAACTACTATAAATAACAAACATTATTATTTATTTATTTACAAATTATAAATCCTATGTATTATGCATAGTCCAAGAAATTAGACTATTCATAGCTTATAAATAGTTAATTTGTTAAAAATTTTATATGATACGTAAATCTTGAATAAATGAAGATTTAAAATTAAAAAAAATTATTCTTTTGGTCCTAAATATATTACTCATTTTGTACTGTAATTTACACTATAAAATAAATTTTATATTTAAGACTAGAGGAGTATCATTTTTTTTCCTCCTGGTAAAACGACAATTAAAATTTACCTTAAATAACATTACTCTTCATTATTCAATGCTTTACAAGAAGGAATAACTTTCTGCGTCGCAAGTGATGAGATCATTCCCAGCTTCTGTTTTGCCAACGAAAGGACCGATCAATCTTAAAAATAATAATAATAAAAAAAGAATCCAATTATCATTATTCTACCATTTCTTGCTATATTAAACTAAAGCCGCCCTGCACCCAGCTCAAAACCAGCAATGTCATAATAGCGCAACTTCATATAATTTGATAGTCCGGTACTTAATATAAGTTTTAAATAATTAATTTACATACAATAAAAAAGTCAGTTGAAAGTGATAGATAGCTAAACATACATATATATGTGTGTATTCAAATATACTCTTGTTATTAATGAAAAAAGGATGAAAAAAATATATGAGAAAAATACAATAAGAAAGAAATGATAAAAAGAGAGAATAACCCAAACTAAAGTTTATAAAATAAATCACAACTCCCACATTTAAAACTTATAAATAGGTCTGAAAAGAGTGTTTGTTAATAAAATGTTCTCATTAGTGACAAAATAACAATTCTCAAGATACCCATCTACCACTTGGCCATATCCAAGTCAAGTGTATTAAGCAATAAGCAGGATCGACTTTGGCGAAAAGGTACGTCCAAAATGTTCCCCTAGCTATATAAAGTTTGGCACTATTAGCACCTTTCACCAAATCAATGAGGCTGCTGACAAGAACCAACACAGAGGGAAACTGTGAAAGTAGCATGAGAAAATAATGGAAAGGCAGAACTTAAGAAGGGCACGAATAATAGAACAAGATAAGTAAACATGCACATAAATCAAGGTTTTTCCTGCAGAAGCAGAACATTATTAAGGAATTCTCTCTTTTAAAAGATGAAAAAAATGCAAGCTATCCCCGCGTAGTCGTAACAATCTCACATCTATAGCAAGAAACAATCATGCTAGGCAACAAAGTAAGCTTTCTATTTTTCCTTTGAGGAATACAAACAAACACTTGGTGGGCAAGCGTGCGGGTCACGAGCAGCAGATGTCCTTCAACCTATCCGCAGCAGATTTGTCCACCGAATACTGCGAACGCATCAGATTGCAGATGGGTCAAGGAATAAACAATAAAGATCGAAGCTTTGAAGCGTGACCAATTTTTTCTCGGTAAAAGCCAACAAGAACAGAGGAAGAAAAGACCTTATCGAGAACCCACAAGGAATGGCGATAGGTGCGGCTGAAGAGATCCTCAAGAGCAGTAGAATCTGCAGCATCCACGTCTCGGTAATTGACGAAGTTCTCGCGTGCGTACTTGGCGTAATAAGGTCTAGTGTCCTTCGGCAAACGCCTCACTAGCCTCAGAACCTCCATGTATGCTCTTAGCGCCTTCTCCATTTGCTTTGTCCTCGCAAAATGGTCACGACCCAGATCACTTGCCTCGGACAATAATATTAATAAGCAGCTTGAGTTTTGTTTTTTCGGGTAAGTTCGCAGCTGGGGAAATGACACTTGATGGATCCGTTATTTAAATACTCTTGGAATCTTGGAATTTAACTATCTTTAGATACTCTGAATCTTAATATAAGACTTATTTAACTAATTTGATTAGATTAAGAAAGTTAGATAAATTAGTTAATTATAAAAAATATGACACATTTTTTTTAAAATATCATAATCATCTTTTTTTAATACTATTTTTTCTCTTTTATTTGATTATGGTTGATAGAGTATTTATATGGATGATTTAGAGAAAATTAATAAATATGATAAATGGGTTTTATATTTAGAATAAAAACCAACTCAATAATTAAGTCATATATTAAAAATCAAATGAGTATAAGTCAAAATTGTCCGTCTTCGGACAATGTATATGTACATTTGCTTGTGTTCCCTAATTTTACAATTGGCTAAAAAGCAATTGTAAAATTAATGTTGCTAAGATATATCATTGAAAACTTCGAAATTAGAAGAATAATTAAATAACTTGTTTTGAAGATAATAAAGATTTTACGACTCCTACTCGAACCGTTTCCTCCTAGTTCTCTCAGTTTCCATATCAGTTTGCTGGAAGTTCAACAACAACTTCACATTACAAGAGCCTCAGAGCAGCTTCATCCTTCAGGCCATTACTCTTCCAGTCCACACAGGAAATTCCCAAGATCCAATTCTCGTTGGAGAATCTCAAGACCCAAATTAGATGGACTCACAACCCTTCCAACTCACCCAACCAGAAAATCTTCAACTCCCCCAGTCAGAATTATCATCTAATCTAGTTTCGGAAGAAGATTACAACCGTAATGAAGGATACAATAGTGACTACTCAAAGTGCATTGGACATAATGAATATTACACTGATCTCACTGATGAAAAATACACACTTTTCAAAGATTAGACTTGATTGGGTTTATCTATTTGGAATCTATTTTATGTCTTACTTTAAATACGAGTATGATGTGTGCTTTTACTTTTAGGTTTTATTAGCTTTTACTTTTGTTTAGAATCTTTGTTTTTGTAAAAATAAAGTTGCACTATTAAGTCTATAATAATTCTATACTGTCATCTAGCTAGTCCAAAGAGTCTATATAAGAAAGTCTCTAGTCTAGAGATTTAAGTATGCTCTAACAATAATAAATGAGTATCAAATATTGAAAGTATGCTCTATACTTGTTTTATACGAGGATCATGTGTATTAGAAAGAATCCGACCATGATTCTCTTTTGATTGAAGAGTTCTTAGTCCGGAGTTTTACGGGTTGAGATCCTAATATGATCTGTGTAAGGCCTGAAGTGCCGTTTGTTAAAACCTTGACATAACAAGACATATAACTCCTTAAGTCAAGTATGGTTCCTAATCTTAGCAACTTATGATAAAGGTGGAACCAAGTAAAAGTATTCTTTCATCAGCCTCATTAACCATAAAGACTGTAACTTGCCAGATCTGGTTCGCAAAGGACCTCTGACAATAATAATCTCTATCACAAGTTTCAAAACACTCATCTCTCTAATGGCAAATCCTCATGATGCCGGGAGTAATAAACTTTTATACCCTTTGCTTGAGAAACCAGAGTAGGTTGCATGCGCCTCTAGTTCTGCGAATGAATTCACCTTCACCTCATCCTTAGACAAAAGGATACTTATAATTCTGATCTCTGAAGTCTCAAAGTCAATCTCCTCTTCTGATTCAAATCCTCGTTCCTCACTATATCGTTTATTCACATTACTCAAGGACTGAGAATGAAATGAAAATTCTGAAGTTTCAACTTTCAAGAATCCTCTAACCCCCGCCATTACAAATTACTAACTTTATCCATACGGAGAATCTTCATTCCATACTTTCTCAAAGCCCAAGGATATTTTCTCAATCCTGTGATTATTAAGCCGAGGTTGTCTCTTCAAAATTCTAAAGTTTCCTCCAAAAAGGAAGTCGAATTTAAGAAACACTGTGGCGATAAAATAATGCAATGATCAAAGAACAGAGGGAATTTTCGGGGGTAACTAGAAATTAAGACAGAGATAGCAAAAATAGGCTTAAAAGGCCCATCAGAATCCCTATAAAAAGCAACATCAATCGTGCCATAATCCTTACTGGCATGCAACCTGAAGCGTGGGTTAGTAAAGTTCAAAGGCGAGCCTTGCCTTCTTCTTGGAATCTCTCTCCAGTCCCGTTGCTTCTTTCACTTCAGGTTTGATGTTTTCTTCTCTCTCTTGTGCCTCTGAATATTTCCCTCTTCCCTTGTTTTTTGGTACAATAGATCTATAAGATGCGTGAATGGGCAGAATGCTCCAACATAAACTCGTTGGCCTGTAAATATTTGTCTCTTTCCTTTTTAGCATCATAATAAACAATATGAGGACTTGTCCATTATCCAAGATCTCCATCCTTTTTGGGTCCTTTTCTATAATTGTTCTACCATGATATTTTAATGGCCATGTCCTGTCTAGTACAGCAGGGCATCCTGTTTATGACCAACCCTGGAACTATGAAGACGAAGAGATTCCTTCTGCTGGCACTACTCAGCATTCAAGATTTCAAGTTCGTTGGACAGAGATTATTCAACGAAACTAACAGCTCCTCCCACAGACAAAGGGTCCATAAAAGGTGCTAATTCCTATGGCATGCCTTATCGGAGTGCACAGTTTGAGTTAAGAATATGGAGGGACATTACCTCAGCATCCCATCTGTGGTACATGCATTCTTGTGATTTCCAACTCAAAAATGAACGACGGAGTTGGGAAGTTTGGTGTGCGGAAAGAATTAATTGAGCAAACATTGCAAAGAATCATATCAGTATGATATTATTGTACGCCCACTTTGTGACATGGGTAAATAAAAATATTCTTCTTGTCTACCTCTATCATTTGGCTATATAAGGAGAAGATGTCAACCGCTGAAACTCACTAATAGAGAAGAAATTGCATCAGTAATCTCTTAGCACTTTATTTTCAGAGTAGAAAATGGCAGCCATTGAGTCAGATTCAAAGATCTCTCTACACGTACGCTCTAACAGCTTTCCTTCTGCACCTCACCCCCTTGTATCACAACTTGAGGAGCATCTGAAGAGATTGAAGTCCTCTGAATCTGCAACTTCATCTTCTTTAAGTCACAAACTCAATGGCTTGCAAGATTTACATGAATGTACTGATAAGTTGCTTCAACTAAACATCACCCAACAAGTCCTAACACGAGGTTGCAGCCGAGAGTGGGTTGATGAGTTACTTGACGGGTCTCTAAGGCTTTTGGATATATGCAGTACTGCTAAAGATTGTCTTTTGCAATCAAAGGAATGCGTGTATGAAATTCAGTCAGCTATTCGAAGGAGAAGAGGAGATGAAAGTGCATTCACAGCCGAAGGCGGAAAGTATTTGGCTTCCAGAAAGAATATGAAGAAGGCAATTCAAAAGGTGTTTGGAAATGTTAAAGAAGTAAGACATGAGTTCAAGTTTTCTTCTGCAAACAAGGAAAACGACATGCTTAGCTTTGTTAAAAGGAGCAGATATGGTCACTTTCAGTACATTAGAGTCTTTGTTGCACTTTATCTCAGAACCAAAGGGACAACTGAATGAAAGAAGATGGTCAGCATTTTCCAAGCTGATGCGGCCTAAAAGAGTTGCTTGTGACTGTAAAGAATCAAAATCAAATGAATTTGACAAGGTAGATACAGCTTTGAAGTCTCTCTACAAACACAAGCCTACATCCAATAACAATTTCCGGGGCCAGCTGAAAGACTTGGAGATGTGTATCTGGATCTAGAAGTAGAAGTTGAGCGCCCCTCAAGGCAACTTATCAAAACCAGAGTTTCCCTTCTTAACATCCTCGACCATTAGTCAGACAATATTTAGGATAACCTCGGACACCCAACCCACTATCCCCTTTGAGTGTCCTATACTTGTACACAAATGTTCTGCTGGTAAAGATA